CCCCGCTGTTGAGACCTGTGCCAGTACCAGCTGCTCTCAGATCACCACGCGCGAGTCCAGAACATTTGTCAGTATCTGGCCAAGACAACGCGTACGATGACGATGCTCCTCGTGGTGGTGGAGTGGCTTCATTGAGGGAACGTTTCACGTAAGTGTTCCAGCCATGTCATCGCCCGCGAACCCCATAAATGTTTTCCTGTGCTACCTTTCTTAGAACCGCAGCGACTTCTCCTCATCGAGCTTCAATAAAACCGGCTCCACGACTTTCCCTTTTGCTGACTCAAAGTGAACCAAACGTCCTCGATTCCGCTCCTCCACTCCTGCATCGACCTGTTTTATTGTCTCCTCAGTCAGTGTTAAGCCCGGAAGACACTCCGTCTGACGAATATTTTGACGCGCCCGAATCACCTCGCATGACTGGTGTCGCTTCTCTCAGAAATCGTTTCTCGTGAGTTGTTGCCTCTGCATTTGAAAGGGAAACGCTAATACCGTTGAAGTAGATTAATTCACCCTACACCCCAGTCCACACCTAAACCCCTTCCGCGTAATGACAATCTCACATCCCATTCAGAACCCAACATTCTTGCACCCAGTCCACCGATGACTGGGACCCTTCGCCGTCCTCCTCCTCCACCCCCGCCTCATCGCTCTGTTCTCTTTGACACTGGCGATGATTTACCTGATAATGCCAGCTCCAACTGCTCATCAAGACATAGCCCCTTCTCCGATGACGAATGTGAGAGTTCTGAGATATCACTGCCACCGGCAATTACCCTTCGTGGACGCCACTCCCGTGGACACTCAGACAGCATCAGCAGTTCAAGTGACAGCGTAGCAAGCATCTCGCCCCCGCGCAAACTTCCTTCACGGCCAAGTCTAACAGTCCCCCCTCCTCCCCTTCCACGACGGGCTGGAAACGAAAACAGCCGCAACTCCTCAGCCAGCTCAACTCCTACCCCCAGCAGTCCCCCTCCCCTTCCCTCACGCCGCCCATCTCCGGAAGATATCCCAGACGTTATATTACCCCCTCCTTCCCTCCCTGCACGCCATAGCATGATCATAGGCACACCCTCACCGACGGACTTCATCTCCGACCGCAGATCCCTCGGAAGCAGCAAACCCCTCGGAAGCAGTAAACTCCCACCTCCACCAACACGTACGATCGCACCAGGCGACAAACTCCCTCCTGCACGACGCACACACACGCCTTCATCAGACGAAGAATCTGGTGGAGAAGAGGGAGGCGATGACCTTCGCATGCTTCTTCCAGACGCGAGTCGTGCATCCCGTCGTCCACCCACCCTACGTACTCCAAAGATGCACGTTCCTGCATACGCCGCCCAAGTGGTAGTAGCCGGTACGCGCGTGCTCGTCGCTTCTCATCACCACTTGCGCTGCTTCGATCTCGCTCGGTACGCTGATGTGCCCGTATGGGTGGGAGACACGAAGGAAATGGGAGTGCGCGATGCGAAAGTGACTGCGCTTGAGTTTCGGGCTGGTAGTGCAGGTGGTGTGGTATGGGCTGGGACGAAGGAAGGGCATTTGATCGAACTGGATATGGATTCAGGCAAAGTGACAGGGTCGAAGTTCGGTGTCCATGCGGGTGTCGTGACGCATATATTCCGACACCGCAATGCGATGGTCAGCGTGGACGAAAGTGGTAAAGTGCTCGTATTCGAACCCACAGCTACATCCGGCTCCGAAGTCCCAAGTCTCACATATACCGCCCCACGGGTGTACCGCATCGCAGAAAAACAAGAATTCGTAAAGTTGCTTGGGGGTCTTCTCTGGACGAGCGTACGCGGCGACGTCAATGGCTCTGGACCCACTACAGTACCCATAGTCAGGATCTACGATGTCTTTACCCCAGGCAGCATCGCACGTACCGTGAGCGTCCTCCCGAACACCACCCATCATGTCGGCGCAGTAACAAGCGGCACGCTCCTTCAATCCCATCCAGGGTTCGCTTATCTCGGGCACGAGGGTGGATTTATCAGTATCTGGAGTTTACCTGCAGGACCCGAGTGCACGGACGTAGTCAAAGTGAGCTCGTCGGACGTGCTGAGTCTCGAAGGTGTCGGGATGCGTTTGTGGTCTGGTGGACGCACGGGCGTTATATGCGCCTATGACGTGTCGTCCCGCCCTTGGGTTGTGACGAACGCATGGAATGCGCACTCTGGATTACCAGTTACACGCATATTCGTGGATCCGTGGTCGATTGAGAAAGAGGAGAAGCTGAGTGTGGTGAGTGTTGGTAGGGATGAGCAGATGAGGTTTTGGGATGGATTGTTGGGGATTGATTGGATCGGTGCGTGCTGTGTTTTTTTTATCGCGGATGTGGGCTGATGAGTTGGAGCAGGTAACGAGCTCTTGAAGCGCGAGCGCGAATTTAGCTCTTTCCGCACCATCAACGTCCTCGTTGTTTCCTGGAATGTAGACGCCGCCAAACCCGAAGCACTCACCGACGATGCGGCAAACCTTACCTTCCTAAATGACGCTCTCACATCCGTCTCACCCGCACCTGACATCATCTCCTTTGGATTTCAAGAGCTCATCGACCTCGAAAGCCGGAAGATGGCTGCAAAGACTGTATTACTAGGTGGAAAGAAAAAGGGTGAGGAGGGCAAGATATCAGAGAAAGTGACTTCAAGTTATAAGCGATGGCACTGATCGGCTTGTCAGGGAGGTCCGCGCACTTGCGGAGGGCTATACGGTGATACATACCGAGAGTCTTGTCGGGCTTTTTACATGCATGTTCGTGAAGAACTCGGAGAAGGCTGCGCTCAAGAATGTAGCGATAACGACGATCAAGCGGGGGATGGGTGGGAGGTACGGTAATAAGGTGCGCGTGTTTTGTTTTTGTTTTTATTGAAGTGCATGCTGATGACATGTATGCAGGGAGGCATTGTCGCACGATTCGTGATTGGAGATTCTTCGATTTGTTTCATCAATTGCCATCTTGCTGCTGGGCAGCATCACGTACGACAGCGCAATGCAGATGTGACTGCGATGTTGGAGGAAAAGTCTGTGTTTCCATCGTCGGATGCTATCGAGGAGTCTCTTGCGTACGTCGGTGGGGGAGATGGGTCCATGGTTCTAGATCACGAGATCGTCTTCGTGCGTTAAATTCATTCCTTTTACTGAATCTGTACCTTAAACGCTCGTTTCTTAGCTCAACGGCGACCTAAACTATCGTATCGACCAACGCCGTGACGCCGTGATCTCTTCCATCCAATCCGGCGACCTCGAAGCCCTGCACACGCACGACCAACTCCTCAAAGAAATGAAGCACAACCGCGGGTTCCGCCTCCGCTCCTTCCGCGAAGGACCTCTCACCTTTTCCCCCACCTACAAATATGACCGCCGTTCCAACGAATTTGACACGAGCGAGAAAAAACGGGTGCCGGCTTGGTGCGACCGCGTGCTTTGGCGTTCAAGAGACCCCGAACGTGTGAAGCAGCTGCATTATAGACGATACGAGGCGAATGTGAGCGATCATCGACCTGTGAGCGCTGCGTTTGCTATGACTGTTAAGAGCGTGAGGTTGGATGCGTGGGCGAAGGAGAAGGGGGTTGTGCAGGAGCTTTGGTTGGAAACGCTGGCTGAGCAGTTGGATGATGCGAAGAAGTTCTATGTCGAGCAGGCTTTGATATAGGATGGGGTGGGTTGGAACGTTGGGTTTGTGTTATGACCATTTGGTTTTTGTATGACTTCACACATGGACTTGAGCTATCGTACATGCCATCATTTCGAGATGTAATTTGTAATGGTATTGTTAGGGAGGAGTCGTATACTTAATTAGAGTTTATCTCTAGCATATGCACCCCTTATGAAGACCAGTTGATCGTAAACCACAGAACCGCTTGGAAAATTTTGGATATAGTAATTGAGAAAAGAATGCAATAAAGAAATCATGAACGAATCTGTGTCGAACATCAATGCCAAAGCCCACTCCATCGGTTCCCCGCTTGAGTATGCGTAGATCCAATACTAGCAAACGCCCACGTACCCGAAGACCCTCCGGCCATAGAAGCAGGCCGTAAGCCCACTCCCACAAGCAAAGATTGTCTTGATCTCCTGCTTGGATGCACGCCGACGTTAACGTGCAAGACGCGCTTCATAAGCTGCTTGACGCGGCTACTCACACCAAAACGTCTCGGTGGCTCGGGTTCGCTGCGTGGGGCGTACGATAGCGTACTGAAGTCAGGAAAACTATCACGCGAGCTCGAGCTGTATTTGCCGTTTGGGGTACTGGCTTTGAAGGAGGCGGGGGAATGCGTCTGTATGGGTGAATCTGGGGACGGTATTTGGGCGAAGGATGGAAGCGGGACGGTGGTGATGGCGAGTGTGGAGGGGAGAATCGGGGAGAGGGTGGCTGGAGGTGTTTTGGGGGGAGATATGGGTCCACGTGTGTGGGTCATTGGACTTGAAAGGCCCATGTTGACGATGGACCACTGGTCACTAGAGGAAGATGAACGAGTGAGGGTTAGAATAATTTGTATGTACGTACGGTCGCTCGAACCAGCCGGTCTTCTTGAGTTCGGCACGGGCGAGGTTGTTGAGTCTATCAAGCGGACTGCTGCTGGGAGAAAGCTACTAGGCGTTGGTTAAATAATGAGACGCTGAACAAATTCCACGGACCATCTTGGTCATTTCGCTGCATGGTGATTCATCCTATTGAAAAAAAAATTTGTTAGATGCGATCTATGCTAAGATAGATATAGAAATACCAAGGAAATTGTATCATCGAAGGCATAGAACGCATCGTCATGCGAGGTAATTCCGGCGAGACTTTTGATTGTCTCAGACGACGATGCGCATGAACGGTTTGCAGTCATCGATGCCATATCGGCGAGTTCGTCATCGTCGTAGATGTAGCTGATATCGAAGAAAGAGGGCCCACGGCGGGCATAGCAAGCATGCCGATCTTGACTTTCCTGACTGGAGCGACTCTGATGGATAGGTATCATGATGTTAGCCCCCGACGTGCACGGTGAGACTGCATCATACTGTCTGGGGCCTGCGTATCTTGATGGTGTTTATGCGGAACTCTTTGCGTGACTCGCGAGAGGAAGGATCGTCGAAAGCATCAGCAACTCTACCGAGGAGTTTGAACGCATCTTCAGCGACAGCCATTTGTTGTGTCTTCCAAGTTAAGGACAAGAGGGGCTAGGGTACTTATGCGCATGAGGCAGTCAGCCTCACCCATGTCAATGGGTCCAGCAAGTCAGCCGCCAAGAAGTCGGCTGACGTCTGAGATCTGAGGCCTCTGTTGGACAACCATTGATAGAATAGGAATGCTCACACCTGGGAGCTCGTGGTTTATAATTATCCGTATTTAGAACCCCAGTTTTGCCAAGGCGTCGATTATGTAATACAACGATTGCCATTTGTCGATTGGCAATTTGTGGGCGAAGCCTATAGCACGAATGCCTCTGAGCAGTATTTGCACATACGCATATATGTTCACCATGGTTCTCCGTATCCTGGATAATTCAGAACTATCCCAGAAAGCCCAAAGAGGTCGCTGTGCTCCTCGATTGTGATAACACCTGTATTAACATGATTCGACAAACACACCATCTACTGAACAAACACTTACTCTAATTTATCTTGCATGGGAGTTTGCTCCAAACCCGTCGAGTCTTCTTGTCACGCGGGTCGGTACCGGTGGCGGCGGCAATGGAAGTTATATTTGGACAAGAGTAGATTTGGATGCGGTACTGGGGAAGGACTGGAAAGAATGGGAATTTCATGTACTTGAGGAATCAATTCAAAGATACAAAAACACTATCAAAGAAAGCATACCCCAAATGCTTTGAGCGTCCACGGGGATCCTCGAATTTGGACGGTCAGCAGGAAGATAACACTCGAAGAACTCATTTATCACCTGATGTATTATGGCCGCTATTCTCTTCGTCCCGCTTCCTGAATAGCACGAGCTTATTCTCGTCTTTCTCGACGTTTGACAGCAAGGTCCATATCATATCCAGAGACCAGTGGACATCGGAAATAGGAGGGAGCAACGGATCCTTCTTTCTTATGACTCGTCGACGAGACTCGGATGATTGATAATCCACTCACACAGGAATAGTATTGGGGTGCGTTACGAAGCATAAGCGCGGATAAGCATAAACCGTAAGCGCTACTCCCAGGTGGGAGCGACCCTATCCAATAATGTGATCATCGGGAGAAGAATTTCGTAAAATCGTCCTAAGAAACTTCAGATTCAAGTTGGACCATATCATCTAGAAAATAGGAATTTTGGGCAGACTGCATGCAAACTCGGTGACTAGCACACGCTATAAAGTTACTGTAGCTTTGCCTCGAGTATGTGCTCCCTGAGTCACGTCCGAAATACGACCTAGTCATCCACCGTGCGTTCAGGGTCATCCGCATTAAATAAGGCGAGAGAACGAAGACACGAAATCGCAAGTTCCCGATTTTTTCTGAGATCGCGAGGGTCTCATTTTGTGATGATGTGTTGTTAAGAAGCCAGTTTTCTTGTGGTGGCGTTTAAACGGTATACACTTTCCATCCATCGAGCGACCTTCCCTTTCTCAGGAGCTTGCCATTTTTGTAACGAAAAGAGGACCCAGGTGAGGACCCATATGAATGATTCATTGTCGTGCTGATACAGGTGCTTGTCTTCGATGACTGTCTTTGTAATACCACTGAGAACGCCAGGCGCCGCGAAAGGTACTATCCTTGCACGCTCCTGCCTTAGGGAAATATCTCGAGTCGATGATAAGGCGAAGTTGCTGAAGACGCCAGTCACTTGACCACCCGAGGTCCGGTATACTACCAGATTGCTAAAGTTAGCGTTGCTGTCACGGACGCCGTTTTTCCAGAGGGTAAGGATGACCTATTGTCGTAGTTGTTATTATAGTAATGCACAATAAACAGCGCAAGGAACATACAGACAACAGTTTGCCACTATGCGCTGAGGAACTCGTTTCCGATATTGCACCACCAAGGCATCTCTAGCCTGAGTGAGTATCGGACATGATGAGGCGTTAATTAGTATTCCAGGACTCTGCGAAGTAGAGCGTTTCTCTTACCTTGCCTGCCCAGCTTTTTCTACATCTTCGATTTTGAATAGGAACGTCTCTCTTGAGTCTGTACAGTTTCCTTCGTAGCATATACACCGCGCTGTGTACATACTATTCCGCGGAAAACAATAGTTTAGATATTGTCTTTAACTGAGCCACGTACCGCGTCAATAACTCCCTGGGATATGATATTATCAGCATAAACCTCTGCAACAGCCTGGCATCTTCATTTTTTCTTGCTGCATGCGAGGTATCAGACAGGGCAGATAACTGATTCACGTAGAGGACTGTGAGCGTGTATGGGTATTCGAACTCCGCTTAATTATGTGCAGGTCATGTGATCGCGTTCTGGGAGATTCTCCTATTGCAAGTGGACGTTCACCTAATCTCTCTCTCGCTCATATTCCTACTCAGAACATCATCGAGTACTGAGTCACGTCAACCACTCAAGACAATGTAATCCCTGGCAGTGGCAGTTCCCTGTATAAACAGGTGCGTATCATCGCGTTATTCACTAGGTTGCACACTGAAACCTATCATTATGTCCCTGCTTCAGTGGGAGGATGCTCTCCATCGCAAGTGGGAGGCTGTAATAAATCACTAACATTTTTCCCAATCTTAATTAACTGGGAACCCGCATTACAGGAGTGTCAAACGTATCATGTCGGACAATGGGCAGAGGTGCTCCTTTTGGAAAGCGAACACCTTCAGGCCAGACTCCAAACCATGAATGAGAAAATCGAGCAGATGTTTGATTTCCATCATTTATTTTTGCATCTTTGATTGATGAGGATTCCCTGGCAGAAGGACGTACCATAACACCCTAGCACATCTTTTAGACAAATCTCCCAGTGATTTGTCAATTCAGGAATTGAGGTTTTTGAGGGAGGAGAGCCATAATATCGGCGACCCAACGTAGGTCTAATTATTTCTTGTCTATCGCCTTCTCATTGTGCTTTAGCGTTCAGCAACAGATCGCAGGTGCCTATCATGTTTCATACCCCCATGCTGACTAAAGCTCTGCAACCAGCATACGCCAAAGCAGTAGAAAAAAGTAAAAGCATACATGAGGTAGAATTGAATGAGGAGGCTTAAAACAGGTTGGTTGTGTAAGCCGCTAAGAGGACACCAAAGTTGACATTTATCTAGGATGAACAACGAGCCAAATATGAGAACAGAGACATTTACCCTTGCAGCAATCAGATATAGAGAAGTGCTTCAATTGACACAGGAAAGAAGCCTTGAGTGAGATACCCCTCCAACGGGGTGGTACAGGCTGGGATTGCCCACCATTTGTGTAGTATAGTCGGTACAGCCTTCGAGCATTGTCATAGCAATCATCATTAGGTCGAGACGCACCAACTTCTGTCTGCCAGAGGCAGGCACATTTCCAGGGGCTGACGAACCGTGATAAGAGACTCATCGGATTAATGATGGCGGGCGAGGGTGGGCACAGTTAGTAAAGCTTGATGCATGACACATGATGGCATCATGGTAGTTATTCTGAATTGCAGACACTTCAAATTTAATCACTGTTATCACGATCAACACATGCTGAATGACAAAAGGATCGTGAGTTGCATAATAAATCTAGAGCAAACTTGAATATGCTGACGAATAACATAAGCCAACAACACTAAAAAACAAGGTAATACATGGTTTCACCCCCCGCACAGCTCTTAACATTGCATTTTTATCAACTGCGATACTCTTTCCTTCGTGTGGCGAGGGGTGAATATGCACGGGAATACAGGGTGCCTGCATCGCCTGGCTCAGATAAACTGCAGGGATCCTCAAGGATGACTCATGTCGTTAAGCCTCCCGTCCATTTCACTCCTTCAGCATCTTCACATGTTCAAAGGGCATGTCCACAATCATGGGAACAAGGGTTCTCTGGACTATAGCATCCCTTACAAAGCTCGCTCCAGGGAACCAAGGAGGAAGTTTTTTCACTGCGAGTACATTAGAATAGAACTACAGCTGATTGAAGTTATACGCACATATGGGTAACTCTGTTAAAACAGCTGCGACCTCAGGCCTGAGTGCTTTTACAGCTATCTCAAAGTGAGCGTTCAACGAGCGCGAGAAAGGGATCATCAACGGGCGCTATAGCATAATCATACATGATTGAAATGATGATAGCCGTGCTGAAGCTATGTAGAAGGGATGGTTCAGCCAGGCAATACATGAAAGGAGAGATTACTCACATGTGGAAATGGGTTCCATACACCTCCGGAGAGGCTAGTAAGTTTAGTATCAAACTGTGAGCATTGCGCATTTGAATCGGATGGAAGGATGACACTGCTTCTAAATGGAATGCTTCATGAAAGATTCGCCTGTCTGTAAACACATGATAAGTGCGATAAGAGAGCTCAAAGGGATAATATACTAACGAAGTCTCCACTTGTCTGAGTAGGGTAGAAAGACAGAGTTGTAGTCATGACCAAAACTAGGACTCGTTTAACAATGGGTACATCAAACGACAGAAGGGCCTCACAAGCCAAGAAGGTGCACAAGCCCTGGGGGTCTCATGGAATAGTTCTGTGAACGACGGTCGAGCAAGTCATGCGCAACTCTTTCGGAGTTGATGATCACGATATCCTGACTGAAGAGTCGGGAGTAAACGATTTCCCCTGTGTCACAATTCAGCACATCCAGATCCCCATGTCGGAGGTTCTACGCACCATACTCAGTTCCCCATCTTGAATATGCTAACCATGGACAATCTGGGTTGATTCCGATCACATTTCCAACAAAAGGGAGAGGTGGAGGACCAGGGGGTAAAGGATGCTTCTTAGTGTGTCTCTTCTTTTGCAAAGATTGCACTATTACGAAAGATGCAAGCACTATGAGGGCGAGTGCAAGACTAGTGTTGGGGCCATCGTTCGAACCAAATAATTAACTGAAGCTCCCCCATATATGTGTCTGGATTTTGTGCGGCCAGCGACCCCATTAACAACTGTGGGGCTGTGTCATCCCCGAAAACTTTGGACAAGCGTCGCAGCTTGGCTTCAGTCTGTGGATATCGATTGTGTTGGACCTGTACATCTGTATGGCTAGACTGTACACCATTCCATATGGGGTATTGCACCGTGCATCTTGGTCACTGGTGTAACCTGCCCTGAACTGCCATGTGACCGACAGCCACAGCAAGCTTCAAAGCTTCAAGCTTCAAGCTCAAGCCTTTTAACATCCAAAACCATTTATCACAATAAGTTATTTGATATTGATATCGTCTTGCAGCTTTGATAGAAGCCGATCCATGTGTGACAAGAAGCCAGATTAGCTGGATAACTCAGTCGTACGAGAGACTTTGCGATGGCAGCCTGTCGAGGAGAATACGATGTTGCCCTCTTACAGTGAGTGCTATGTACCTTGCTTACTAACCTACACTACACCTATGTAGCCCCTACCCCTTGGTGCCTTACCACTTTTGTGGTGTACCTTGCTTACCTACGCTACATCCAGGTCTCTGCCTATTGGATTTCCTTCAACCCGCCATGTTTTTGTGGTCCAGAGCTCCTTTAATCTGGCCGGGCGGCTGGCACACCCCCAGACAGGACCCAGAGTAGACTCTACGTAGACTAGACCTAGAGTTTCCATTTCCTGGATGTCCTCACATTCGCACTGTGTTGCCCATTGAGCCACTTACCAGAAATGTGCTGTCTGGAGAATAGTCGAGCGAGAAAAGCTTGTTGGAGTGGACTCTGACTTGGATGGGCTGGCTGAGAGATTCGCCGTCCCTGTTCCAGGCTATGAGCTCCCCACCAAAATCACCGCTTGCTATGAATTGCCCGTCTCTCGATACTGCAACTACTCCGAGTCGTATGCCCCAGTGATGCCCAGGGCATCAGACACTCAGACTGCTGCGAAGTGCAGTTATCTCCTTGTAAGTATAATTCCTATGGTTGCTTGCTCATTGGATCGAAGCTGTAGAGTAAAGGAGATATGGCTGACACCACTACTACGCTCGAACGAATTTCCGTGGCCAGGAAATCTGGTCCAGTGTAATAGTGATGCCCGCTGCATTGAAGTGCATTCGATGTTCACTATCCAGTGTTACGCTGACCGTCGGTCGGCGTGTGCGAACTAGGATAGGTCTTCTCAGCGACGATTCGAGTGAGTCTACTGAAGCTGAGGGTGGTTCTCGGCTTGACGGAACGTCAAGGGTTCCTCCGGTGATCTCGGTAAGACGGCGCTCGTCGAGATACAGGGCTAGCGGATATGTGCTAAGTCGTATGGGAGCGACTTAGAAGTGCGGTCTTATACAAGGAAGCTGGTAAGGCTTAGTTGAACAAGTTCTGGGATGAACCTAGTAGATTAAAGTAAAGTCTAAGTACAATAATCTGTCTACTTATATGTGCTACATATAGGTATTCTAGCTCAGTCTGTAATCTATAGTATATCGAGGATCTATGATAACAAGACATGAGGTCAGATAAGATACATGAGGCTTAACCTCTGATCAAGCATGCAGCGCCAAGTGCGACTGCGCATAGGTACAGGAAGCGCCAAGAGCGCTCCGGATCTTCATGAAGCGACATGCGGTATGCATGCACTGATCTAGGGTGACCATGAGGCGTACAGCCTCCATGGATCAGGTACAAGGCCGTCTAGGCCAGGGGCGGGTCATAGCGCCAGGGGCGGCGTCACAGCGGTCCAGACCACTGTCTTTCTAGGCGCGGGCGGCGCACCGCCGCGCAGAGAGTCTAGTAGAGCGGGGGCAGGCGTAGGCAGAGCTGGGGCTCCTGTAGGTGTTACGGATGCCTGTAACATCCGGTGAGCATCTTACGATTGCAGACAGTAATATCTAATTGATAACCCAAGCCTGATCTATGCACCAGGGAATGCGCCGGGTTACTACACTAGATTACGGCCTGCCACCACATACGAATAATGGTGTATGCTCCATTGCAAACGAACTATGTACTTAGGAGCTTTCAGGATGTGGTTTCGCAATAGCCATGAATCCAAACAACCAGATGTGTTACTCAACACGGTCCAAGTGCACATGTTGACTCTAATGCAGACACACGATATCGTCCTCTCCAACCACCTCGAGAGCACATGGTGCCTCTGCATGTCAAATTTTGAAATCTTGTATTTGCAGGAGTCATTTGCAGGGTATGTATGATATATGAGGCTATGATAATGTGATCGCCGACGTGTTGTAAAAAACATTCAGCTACAATATGTCTAGGGTCCTGATGTTCATAATGTCAATTGAAGCCGGGTCCTTCACCTGCGCAATGATATTATGGTCTGACGCGACCCTCTTGTATTCTCCAACGCGTTGCTGCATTACCAAAAGTGCGCTGAAAGCCTGCCCAAGGTGAACCATCAAACACAATGATCGTGAGTGAACATCCGAGTCAACTGACAACTCCTCTTCTCCAGGTGAGTTGCTGGACAACTTGTCAGTGTTGTCCAATTCAGACTCGGACTCGGACCAATCCCTTATGCTCTCCCCTTCGTCTACAAAGGTGAGCTGCTCTGAAAAATCAGGCAGCCCGAGGAGACGATGGTCCCATGGGCGGACAAGAAAGAACGTCTGCTGAGTGGGCCTTGTGCACGAGAATTGAATTAGGGTCTCGTCCGTGGTGATCAGCAAGTCTCGAAGCCCATCTGCTTTCACTCCATACATGGAATGAGCAGCGAGACCCCGCTGAAGGTACAACAATTCAGATGGTGAGTCTGAACAATGTTGGGTCTTGCAGAACCTAGCTGCTATTCGACCCTAAAGGGTTTCTGGACCAGGCTCAAGGCTCAGAGAAGAGGAAATATGATAGAAACTTGCTGAATACTCAGACTCATAGTAGAACTGGTGAAAAGGTAACTTGATTATGTAAGCTACAAAGTGCCAACATAAGGTAAGGTAAAGACAGTCTCTCCAAGCCTAGCCAGAAATGAATCCCTACACCACCTTCATTTGACTTCCGTGACACGGAATGCGATGCAAGGTAGACGGAGTCTGCAGTTTGTGAAGAGCGGAGCATTCATGTTCTCGAGCAGGTTATACAGCTTCGAAGCTGAATCCACGGGCACAATGTTTCGCAACGAAGAGACTGCTGTATGAATCTCATCATCAGACAATGATGGTAGGGAGTATGATGGGGCCGCATATGAGATGATGTCGGCTGGAAGGCAACTATTGAACTCGGACGATTGTCCGACCCAGTCCAGGCAAGTGATGTCGCCCGATCTAGCCACGATCTCCTGCAGGAGCTGTCCGAGCACATTTTACTTCTTCTTGCCATAGATTACAGGCAGGTGGATGCCGAAGATACCAAACAACGAGTACGCGATGTCTTCCTGCATGGTGGTAACACGTGTCGATGCCCATCGCAGCTTCTCTTGAGCGTCTCTCATCCCTGGATGGAAGCAGGTCAGGGCCTGTGCATCTATTCCCGTCGCACCTGCCAACTCCTTCATGATTTCTGGGGACTCTTTGTGGTTGGGAGAGCGATCGTCCAGATATAATGACCAGTCCTTCTCATAAAATATAACGACTTTTGGAGCGACGAATTCTTAAAAGGTCCATCCTCATTTGTTCCAGACACTACTCGCCAGTGCACCGGACTGGGATGAAGGAGGGACATCAGATAGGTAGACTATGGTGAGCACTGAGTGGCGGTACCAGACAAACATGGAATTGACTGATTCTTGAAGCTCGACGTTGTTGCTCTTATCAATGCAGCATGTATCCATCCACGCCCAGCGATACCCTGCATCACGAGCCACTTTGCAAAACGACTGCAGTTTCGCAGTGCCACCAAGTCCTTTCAACTCGCGCACATCTGTATTTTGGATGTGGTGCAGCAGCACCTCCGTCTCTTCCCACCTGTGGGATAGCAAAACGCAATGGAAGTGCATCGCCACCACCTCCTTGATGTGTTCCATTTGGAGATCTGAACACTTCATTATGGATGACAAAAGCTCCTTGTACTCTGAACTTGTTTTGAAGGAGTTTACCTGTGCTGCTCGGTCGCACAGAATCCCCGTAGAGGTGTTGAGCAGACGAAGGGGGGCGTTGCTGAGTTCAATCGAAACCACTTTTCGAATAGTGTCTTCTGCTTCCGATGGACGGACGTACTGCTCACGCAGATCTGCAGCACAAGATAGGCATTTCGAGACAAGGTAGTAATGTTCCATGGCTTACCTCGTATCTGCACTTCTGAAGTGTCGTCCAACTTGGAAAACATGATTGTGAAGGCCTCGATGGCTTCATCATAACGTTGCGCGCCATGCAGCACTGAGTGTGACAACTGGTACCCAACATGGGATGAGGGATTGAGTTCGGTGACCTATGCATCGCCGAAGTCAACATGGGCTACTAGAACGTGGATGCCATCGCACCTTTCGCGTGTCGAGGAGCGCATCCTCCCACAGCATTTTACTTAACTTTGCCTCGCTGCGACGTGCAAAGAAGATATCAGATGCAGAATCCAGGTCGATTGCCATCGAGTATAGGTCAATAGCCTTGTTGTAATCACTTGCAGCGAAGGCAGTATCTCCGTTGGCAGCGCAGAGTGCACTGCATTCCTGTTTGAAATCTGAGAAGAATACGGTTAAGGATTGTCGCCTGCGCGACATTACGGGCTCTAGACTCGCCGTTGGACCAATCAAGGCAGTCGACTTTGGTGATTTCGTCACTCGAAGTCATCATGTGTTGGTATGATTGCATGGCATCTTGAAGTTTACCCATCCGAAGGAGTGCATCACAGCATTTATGATGTGCCTTTCGCCACAACGACTTGAGGTCCCAGCCAAAGAGCTGGACAAGGGATTCAGTCATGAGAAGCGTTATACATGCATCATCTTGATGTACCACCATCAAATCTTCGTATACTTCATGAATGTCCAACTCCAATGATAAATCGCTGGAGTCGATAGCGGCAGTGAAATGGTCGGCAGCTTCTTCGTAACGTGCACTATCCAAGGCTTCGATCCCGAGTTGAACGTGTAGATATGCCTAATGTGCGAGTTGTAAAGATGAGTGTTGACATTGATGACCAAGCATGGATGACACTTACTTGCACGATGCCACATGCGAGAGTGTCTGCATTCGGACAACCGGCAGCGAGCTCTTTGAGGAGTAGGTTTGCCTCATCATGTTGATCTGCATTGAAGAGCGCGATTGCTTGAAATACATGATGAAGGGAAGAGTATGCGAGACAAATGTAACATACCATACCTTGATCAACAGCAAAAAATAAGTGATTTCTGAATCCTGGTCCGTGTACATGGATGCAACATCAAATGCTGCCCTCGCATCCGGGACACGGCCTTTTCCACAGAGGGCAATACCCTTGGAGATATAGCCTGCCAATGAGGGCCGAATCCTGATGGACTATGTCACCGTCGAGTTAGCCCTGTATAAGGTGGCGATGATTCTCACCGTGATTGCATCCAGAAGGGCGCGGTCCCAGTCGCATTTTCGCACCATGACGAATGACCGATGGGCATAGGAAGTATGGTTGTTCAGACTGGTGTTGATATCTTGAGCGAGTAGTCCTTCGGTAGTAGATAAGTCTCCATTTAGACATGCAATATGGGAGGTCGTGGTGGCTAGGATCTGCACGAAACATGCTCGATTTGTGGTATATGAGTCAGAGACGGAAACATGCCTTTGAATGTATACCCTGCGGTACTGTCCACTCTGAGACCATCTTATCGTAACCTCCACTGAAGATGTGATTGCCGTTCATGGAGAAAGTGACGCATTGCGTGATGTATGAGTGCCGGAAGACGGCAATGGTTTGTCGATCTGAGAGCTGCCAAAGACGAACATGGTTGTCACTAGATGCGGATGCGACGAGTGTGCCAGCAGGATGAATGGCAATGGCATTGATTTGGTAAGTGTGGCCTGTCCAAGGATCACCAACCTGCTCCCATGTTTTTGTATCCCATTCGCGTATAGTAGGATCTTTACTATCGCCGCCTGTGAGAAGGCGTGTGCCATCGGGCATCCACGCGAGTGACAAGTTGGATGATTTATGAGCCTTGAAGGATGTGACGCGTTTCCTCGTGCCTGAATTGTAAATTTGAATATAATGTTTTGTTGCGATGGCAAGAAGTTCTCCAGACGGTGAATACAGTACGCAATTGACACAATCACCACACCAGATCGGATCTCCTTGCAGCTGCCAGGTTTTGGTATTCCACAGTGTCGTCATTTCATTGAACAATGAACCAGTGGCCAGCACTGTTCCATCGGGAGAAAAATCCAGCGAATAGATAATATTGCAGTGTGCTTTGATTTTGGTGAGTAATTCACCAGTTTCTCCGTGCCAGACGATGACCTCTCCATCGTAATCACCGCTTGCTATCAATTGCCCATCTCGTGATACCGCCAATCTCGACACCCGATTGCAATGCCCCTCCATCTTCTCCAACACAACACCTGTCTTCAAGTCCCACAGACGAAGTGTCTTGTCATATGAGCCTGTAACCATCCGACATTTATCAGGGAAAACTGCGACTGCAGCTATGCAATCTTCATGGCCTTTGAACCATCACAGGGGAGTGGTGATTGTAATGAGCTCCAACATTTTACTGGATGTTGATGGTATGAAATACGGCTGAGGCTAAACTTTGGAGGGATTGTGTCTTTCTCTAAGCTGCAGAGGTGTATAGTGCGTTTTATGGCTTGCCTCATTTCAATAGACGCCCAGAACAAGATTCTAAGGCTGTTCTTGCCCACACCTCCATCACCATAATGCATCCACCCTACTGTCATACCCGCTGTCCTCGACAGTATGCACATCTGCAGTGCATACATGCATCTGACTCTTGTCTTCGCAGCTTCCAGAATGTATCCCATCACATCAAGTCAAGCAGTCCGTGCTTTCCAGCGCTCGAATCTGACTGTCTATCCTGCATGAATACCATTGTTTTTCGTATCTAGCAGCTACTCCAGCTTATCACCACACTGCTCCTTCAAACACATGTATAGCTTATTGCAATATCGCTTCTCCATCCAACAGACTCCGAAGATCCTTGTGTGCACAAGATGCAACGGACTCGCCTTACATTTTACCTCTATTGGCAAGCCTCTTCCCATGTTGCATAATAAATATAGAGCAAACTTGAATATGCTGACGGATAACGAAAACCAACGACACTAAAAACAAAGGTAATACATGATTTCACCCCAGAACCATATCCACACAGATCTTAGCATTGCATTTTTATCAACTGCGATACTCTTTCCTTCGTGTGGCGAGGAGTGAATATGCACGGGAATACAGGGTGCCTGCATCGCCTGGCTCAGATAAACTGCAGGGATCCTCAAGAATGACTCACGTCGATATGCCTCCGGTCCATTCCACTCCTTCAGCATCAGGCCCGACATTCCATCCTGGCGCACGTTCCAACCGGAAAACAGTTAGAATATTCACAACTGCGGCGAATAAAGAGGCATCGGCGACATGTCGTCCAACACTGCTGAAAGGTCAGGCAAACCTGTCTATCCGCAAAACTCTGAATTTCGTACCAAATACGCCTTCCAAATCCAAAAGCAAAGGAAACATCATCAGGACCGTGTGTTGACGGCTCTTCGACAGCGACTTTTGACATGTGACGCTCGGGTATGAACCTCGTTGGGTTAGGATATTTATCTGGATTGCGCGTCATAAACCTGCATAAAGGTTATATCTGATCTTTATTCACTTGGTATGATGAATCACCATGTGTTAGCTATTACGGTAGCCCCTTGAGAAACAGTTTTAGAAGGTGATAAGGTTTTTAGCCCATAGACTGACCTTTTGGAATATAGTAACCTTCATAGATGTCGTCATTTACTGTGGCATGTCCAATGCCTAAATTCAGTCAGTGACCATGCTAACTGGAGTTCCATGAGTCAAGAGTACTGACCCAGAGGGACGACAGGGAACCACCTCAGCATCTCCAGTATGATGGCATTGACGTAGGGCATAGAAGCGCGATCATCCCAGTCGGGCGATCTTTCCAGAGTTTCCCCAATGACGGAATCAATCTCTGCTTGCGCGCGTGTTTGCACCTCGGGATATAGAACCATCGCGAGCAGGAAGACATATAAAGTGGACGTCGTCTGGACCTTTAGTCAGTATATAGCTAGAATATAAATCGCGTCAAAGTATACAGTTTCTGAGGCGGCTGGGAATACGGAGAAAATGAGTAGAGATACATCAAAAACATAATGATCACTGCAGATTTGTCACGAACCAGTATAACCAGATGCACTGGATTCCTTGATCCCTTGCTCAAGCACAGCGGCCTCCCCTTCATCTTGTGTTTTGACTGGTATACGTTTCAATGCATCCGACACCATGGATGGTGCAGCCGTCCCCGCAGCCTGAGGATCAATCATCATGAGCCTAATCTAAATGATACTGCGATCAAAAGGCACTGGAAACTTGCCATGTTGTTCTTCACATGTTCAAAGGGTATGTCCATAATCATGGGAGCGAGGGTTCTCAGGACTATAGCATCCCTCACAAAGCTCGCTCCAGGGAACCAAGGAGGAACTTTTTTCACTGTGAGTGTATTAGAATACAACTACAGCTGATCGAAGTTATACGCACATATGGGTAACTCTGTTAAAATAGCTGTGACCTCGGGCCTGAGTGCTTTTATACCTATCTCAAGTGAGCGTTCAATGAGCGTGACAAAGGGATCATCAATGGGCACTATGGCATAATCATACATGATTGAAATGATGATAGCCGTGCTGAAGCTATGTAGAAGGGATGGTTCAGCCAGGCAATACATGAAAGGAGAGATTACTCACATGTGGAAATGGGTTCCATACACCTCCGGAGAGGCTAGTAAGTTTAGTATCAAACTGTGAGCATTGCGCATTTGAATCGGACGGAAGGATGACACTGCTTCTAAATGGAATGCTTCATGAAAGATTCGCCTGTCTGTAAAGACATGATAAGTGCGAGAGCTCGAAGGGACAATATACTAATGAAGTTTCCACTTGTCTGAGTAGGGTAGAGAAACAGAGTCGTAGTCATGACCAAAACTAGGACTCGTTTAATAATGGGTACATCAAATGATAGAAGGGCCTCACAAGCCAAGATGGTGCACAAGCCCTGGGGGTCTTGTGGAATAGTTGTGTGAACGACGGTCGAGCAAGTCATGCGCAACTCTTTCGGAGTTGATGATCACAATATCCTAACTGAAGAATCGGGAGTAAACGATTTCCCCTGTGTCGCAATTCAGCACATCCAGATCCATGTGTCAGAGGTTCTACGCACCATACTCAGTTCCCCACCTTGAGTATGCTAACCATGGACGATCTGGGTCGATTCCGATCACATTTCCAACAAAAGGGAGAGGTGGAGGACCAGGGGGTAAAGGATGCTTCTTAGTGTGTCTCTTCTTTTGCAAGGATTGCACTACCACGAAAGATACAAGCGCTATGAGGGCAAGTGCAAGTACTAGTGTTGGGGCCATCGCTTGAACCGAATGAGTAACTGAAGCTCCCCCGTATATGTGTCTGGATTTTGTGCGGCCGGTGACCGCATCAATGCTATCATTGCTATGGGGCTATTAGTATGTCGTCCCCGAAAACTTTGGACAAGTGTCGATTCTTGATGGCCCCGAAATCCTTGAACAGTGTTGTGGAAGTACAGCTTGGCTTCAGTCTGTGGATATCGAGTGTGTTGGACCTGTATATTTGCACGACTAGACTGTACACCATAATGCCATTCCATACGGCCGTCAACGGTCACGAGTCTAGTCAACGGTACCTTTACGGCATATATATGTGTGCCGGTGTAACCTGCCCTGAACTGCCATGCTCAGCAGGTGACCGACAGCCACAGCAATGACTTAGTTTGCATTAGCTTCGGATCCAAAACCGTTTGTCACAACACATGAGCTATTTGATATTGATAACGCCTTGCAGCTTTGATAGAAGTCAATCCATGTGCGACAAGCAGTATGCATAAGTGTCCAAAGACTTGTATGGCACTGTATATAGACTTGTGTGCAGGCCATGTGGTCGTGTATGTAATTCACCTTGTTCTCGAGGAGGATGGATCAGTCACATCTACATGAAAGCCCATCTATCAGTCCTGCGAGAGAGCTGCCGGTACAATTAATGAAGTTGAGTATATGGGATTCATGAACTACTGTGACACCAATATGATGAGTCCTTTTCATACCTGACGATCTCCATCTCATCGATTCGTCCACCAAACATATTTCACACATTTGAACAGGCTCTGCATTCGAACCGTACGAACGTGATCTGGACATCCTCGAACACATTTGACTACATCCAATTCAATATTTGAGCAGAGGGAGGAGAACACGATGTTGCCCTCTTACGCTGAGCGCTTTGTGAATTTGGCCCCGCCGCTGTATCAAGGTTGTACAATGGCACATGATTTCCAATGCCATCGGATAAGTACAATGATCTCACTCCAGCCAATTTTGCTCTATGTAACCAGCCGCCTAACCACCAAATGTGAACTTCATTGCCTCCAAAGCCAACAAGGGTATTCTACAAATAAGGTGGTACTTATTGGTTTCACAAAGGTATGAAGTGTTGTGATCATGAACTACAAGTGCGGCACCAAACTAGTCCATGACACGGCCCTGTATACGTCAGGAGGAAGATCGCGTAAGGTGGTGAACATAAGTACCAAGAGGACGGCACGAGCTGTGATGTACAACATAACAAACAATCGGGATGCATTACTTCTCTCTGACCTTGAGGAGGCCATCGAGCTGTATCAGGTTGCATTACTCCTCTATCCCCCCGGTCATTCAGATCAACCCTTACCTCTAAACAATCTTGCAATCAGCCTTCGAGACAGATTCCGGCAGCATGGAATCATGTCTGACCTTGATAAATCCATGAAGCTGCATCGGGATGCATTACTCCTCTGTCCCCACGGTCATCCAGATCGATCCTCGTCTCTGAACAATCTTGCTGCCAGCCTTCAAGATGAATTCCTGCAGCGTGGGACCATGTCTGACCTTGATGAAGCCATTGAGCTGCATTGGGATGCATTACTCCTCCATCCCCCCAGTCATGCAGATCAATCATCATCTCTGAAAAATCCCACAAGCAGCTTTGAGACAGATTCCTGCAGCGTGGGATCATGTCTGACCTTGATGAAGCCATCGAGCTGCATCTGGATGCATTACTCCTCCGTCCCCCCGGTCATTCACATAGATCCTAGGCCTCATCTCTGAACAATCTTGCACTCAGCCTTCGAGATAGATTCCACCAGTGCGGTGTCCAGTCTGACCTTCATGAAGCATTTAGCTTATATTCTCAACTCTCCCACCTGTCACATGTAGCATCTCGCACAGATCTTGATGTTGCTGAATCATGGGTGGCCTTCGCTGACACCCTCAATCACGCATCTGCATTGCTTGCCTATAAGACTGCACTGAAATTCCTGGATCAGCAGGTTGCTCTCTTGTCACCTTCTTTCCATCATTTCAACGTCATCAGAAAGGCTGTCTCTTCCCTTGCCACAGATGCCTTTTCATGCAGTGTTCATCATCATGCTCTGACGACTGCGGTGGAACTGGTGGAGCAAGGTCGTGCAGTGTTCTGGACCCAGTTGGCACACTTCAGCACACCACTGGATGAACTTTCTGTTTCAGGTGATACCGGTGTGGCCTTGGCAGAAGAGTTCAGATGGTTGAGTTTTCGCCTTTGTAACGTGTTCGATTAGTCTACTGAAGACCAGTCTCCGCAAATTCAGCAACTCACCATGCAATGGGATGACGTGGCTTCACGGATCTGTATGCTTCCCGACTTTCCTTGGTTTCTCTTGCCTCCCCTTTTCTCCGACCTCCAGAAGGCAGCTGAAGATGGTCCTGTCATCATTGTCAATGCTAGTCAGCACTGCTGCGATGCCTTGATTGTCCTCAGCAACCAAAATCCTGTCCACGTTCCGATTGATATCACGCAGACCGAAGTTGCTGATTTGTCTTCTGAGTTTCGGTCCCTTTCAAAAGAATTTGGTTCTCTTGATACTCGACTCAAGCTTGTCAGCATCCTTCGCAAACTTTGGGATGGCGTCATTGGCCCCATAGTACAAGCCCTTAGGGTATCAAATATTCGCCCTGGTTCGCATATCTGGTGGTGTCCCACTGCTGAGTTCACGCTGCTTCCTCTACATGCAGCAGGAGCTTATGAGAAGAAGAGAGATCATTTGTCTCATATGATTATCTACATCTCCTCATACACCCCCACTTTGGCGACACTTCATCAGGAAACCGGCGGGAAAAAGGTTTTTGTAGATACAAATAGCAACATCAGATCACATGTCTACTGGATTATATCCAAAGGCAAAGCAATATATAATCATAACACGATGGCATCAAAGGACAAGAAGTTGCAAGAACAAGCCAAACTTGATGAAGGATTATGTGTCCCAACAACTATGATATACAATAGATAAAATATTGAAAAGGTTCTGCATCTCTCCAAACCTGTGGTCATCCATCGCCTGAGCTGAACTTCATGATTGCTACTTGAAATGCCAGTCAGCTGGCAATCAAGAGTTACAAACTACATGCAATACTGGCCTGAATTCATAAGTGTGGTGTGTCCTAGGTAATCTTTTGTAAATCACCAACAGTTCTCAATATCTGTGGTACACCTGCTGCCTAAACCAGACTATGGTCATCAACAACCAGACAACAATCATATATTGCAAAATTGATGGAGTACTGACGCCAGTCAGCCATTCCTCGTGATTTTGATATGTGTAAGACAATGCCTTGGCAAACACAAGCAATCCTGGACTACAGCAGTCAGCATCTGACTCGGACTCCGCTGTGATAAGGTCCATTGGGGATGTTTTCATTGATTTAATTAGTAAAGCGATGTGCAGGAGAAGATACTTGATATTGTACATCTAAACACGAGATCATGGCAGTCAGTACGTTAAGGTAAGGAAACTAGTACATAGTATCACAAAGGTTATGTACACATGAGCATAAAGATACGTGTCTGATAGCTTGTAAGATGGCCATGTGAAAATGACTGATGTGAATTCATTCAACCACGCGTAGCCAGGCACCTCAGTCTCCTCTAAGGGCGGCTGCCAAGTGATGACGAAGCTGCAATGGTATCAGCATTTTGAAGAGGACGTAAGTAATTTGTGCCCACTGTCGCTGTCAGAGTGATCGGATGCAGGCACATTTCCAATCACCAGTTCATAAACTTCTACCTCAGCTTTGGCACAACACATCTTCACATGCAAGTGATATAACTCTAACTCAGGGTTGTGCTAATGAGAATGGTAACCTTCCATATCAAGGTAGGTTGCCACGAGTCCTGTCTGAGAGTGAAATTCCAAATGACATGCCTTATCAAAGGCCTCTTGAATGCCAGGTGGGACCCATGTGCTCGACAGGTGGAACGAGGAGTCGATGGACTTCAGTGATAATGTCAGACTAGCCAAGTAGAAAAATTGACAGTACTGACGTGCACGATGACTGGCATTTGTTGCTCTAGATGTGTAATACAATTTTGGTAGCCATATTTGTCTGAAAAAAGTTGTCTAACTGGCGTGAAGTCGGGGTCTTGCTCTCTTAACCAAGTTTCGCACTTGTGTTGCACAGCTGCCGAATAGGCGCCTATGGATGTTGAACAGGCCTCTGTAGATACTGAACGGGCTACAGTAGGTTCAGCAATACATATTGAGGTTGTTAAGCCAGGGCTGTCATTATGTACGAGTGAGCGGGTTGTAATAGCACGCATTGCTGAGTAGTGAGGTGTCAGACCATTGGTTTGCATAGTTTGGAGAATCTCACGCATTATCCATCGTTGCTGTACATGATCGATAGCCTGGCTGCACAAAGACATCTCCAGCTGACATTGGTCCCTCTTCTGTTCCATGAAAGCTCGCTCTACGGTTACGTGCCCTTTGTTATCCTTAACCGTTTGCAACGATTCTTCTGTCTGTGCTTCCAATATACGCCCTCCGATTATCTGCCAGATATCGCTGTGATAGACTCGACCTTTGAGCAAGAAGTACAGAATATACAATTCAGTCTGAAGCTACGTAAAAACATTTAGGTGAACTGATACTTTAGAAATTGTAGACTTGCCGTCTTCGTTGGTATGAGTCTGATATAGAAATCCAGCCATTTGGGACCTGCCAATATGTCCGAAAGCTCACACATGCCATTATGAATGGCTGAGGAGTTGAATGGTGGAAGATAGGATGGAGCTGGTATCATGACCGCTGTGGTAAGGAAATATGTACACGCGCGACACATGCTATCATGGAGCTCATTTGTTAACCAATATTTTGAATCAGAATCTGATTTGGGCGGCGATTGAATGGTATGACAGCTGGCCATCAAACCAACGTTACTGGCTATCAAACAATTCGAATTCTGGCTGGCCATCAGTGCTAGTGATGGATCAACTTTTAGGAGAATCATGAGCAGTGAAATAGCTAGAGACTCGAGATGAAACAAACCTTCCACTATGAATGCGCCTGTGTGAGACTCTTAGACATCAATTTGTATCTGGGTACTGCCCTGGCTGGGCAGTGAGGTTAGACTTTCGCATAAAAGATTCAGATGTAAAGAGGGCATATGTGGTGATGAGCTCGGCATACTGTTATATTTTACAAAAATCTTTGCATAGGGTGCGGTGGCAGGCAGGGGCGATGGGGGTGGGATGAGAGCAGCCATGTTTGTTTACCTGAAAAAGAATATTATATTGGTCAGATGCTGGCGACTTCAAACTTCTCAAAAGTCAACAGTGCTTAGCATACACCCAGATCATCTCACTGCAGTCCAATCTTTGAGTCACTTTCCCAACAATGTCATGATGATGGACACTGACAGATCGAATACTGACCTAGCTTTCATATCCACATCGTTGATATAACATTTGAATGTCGTTGGGGACTGTCACATTGGCGTGGAGACTGGTGATAAAGGACAAGAAGTTGATACATATGGTCCTGGACACCCGAACTCAGTGTGATGATCAGCCTTAGAATTATGTAAGTAAGCGTGCCCGGCTTCACCTTACCAGTTACTAAACACCCTCACCAACTTGAAGTTTTCCATTGGTTTTGTGTCGACGTATTCATTAAGCATATTCAACTCATAGTATCGATGCGAGTCGGGTTGATGTTGGGAGCGCAAATTTGCACCATTACATAAGTGTAAAGTTTGATCAGTAAGACTCTAGTAGTATGACAGCCTATTGCAGACGTAGCTTCAGCAATGGCGGATTATTCCTAGGTTGTTGCTTTTGGACCCCTCTTGAACAGGTCTGGATATGGTGCTTCATAATCGACCTCGCTCCTACTCGCGAGCAAAGCTTGCAGCTGTCTAAATAAAACCTGGAACTCTTTCGCTGTAATTCCATCACCAATGGACGACTCAAGCTTTTTGAACAATTCCGTTTGTTCCTGGTATGTCCACTCGAATCAAATAGAGCATGGTTTTCCATGTTCTCCTGCTGATTTATCAATAAAATTATTGCACCACAGGAATGTAGTTGATACCTCGACGACAGGTACCGGAATGTGGCTAAAGATGATAGCTGGTAGTATGCGTCTATTCTCACTGGTAGGTCATGGTTGGTTTGGGATATCCTCGAGAATGAAGGAAGCTGACCTTGATATCCACACTCATCAGATGCGCATCTTACCCTCCAATAAGTCTCTCAAGTAGTCTTATCTTTCCAAGGATACACTGCCGCCTCGGTGTAGGCCTCTTTTCCACACCCGTCGGCACATAAGCAGCATGGGTATCAAAAATTGCGTTCTTCGCGGTACTTCTCAAAGTGTGATGGAATAATCTTCTTTCCCTCGTTATCGTCAGGCCTCCATATTTGAGTCAACGCTCAGAAGTTATACAAGGTTTGAATAATCTTACCAGTACCATTCTATCATTGATTTTGACGCACTATCGTAATGTAGGAGGGCAAAGTGGCAAGTCATGGCTTCTACCATGAGTTTGGCGAGCCTCATGGTGGTTTCGTGACAGTCAGGTGGGGCAGTGATCATGGAAGAAGGTGAGGATGGGGTTTCCATTGTGCAGATGGATACAACAAGGCCTCATTGCTCTTTATAGATCCTGTAACATTTAACCATGTCATGGCTGGTCTGACTTTTTTTTCTCCCATCAAGTGTGCCAGCCCCTCCTGCACTGCCAGGATCTTGGCCTGTGAGAATATGCAACTCAGGTAATCGTGCTGGCCATCTTAACGTTCAGGTTTGTCACGTTATATTATACTGTTGAATTTTTTGCTGTTGTGCTCAATTGTGTATCCGTTCGCTCTTCATGGATATAGCTTCGTCGCAAAGGCTTTTCAAATGCACTTGCACACGTGAGTTTACTCAGGAGAGTGCATTCACAAAGCATCAACGTTCCTGTCTGAAAGGCAAGAAACGATTGATAAGTGCTTTGTCTAAAGCAAAAGATCTCCTAGGCTCTGTAAAACAGGCCTGACTGGATACCAATGGGAACAGACAGTATGTGTGTATCAGCATGCCCTCTTCGATTACACATCCATGCTGTCCACAAGCCCCATCGTCGTCTTCCAACCATGTCAATGAGACATACAGTGTGGGGTCTTCAAGTCTTCACCCGTCTTTGCCTTTGGCCGCAGTGCACCCCCCAGGGGAGGTGCCTTGTGCAGGTTCTTCAATCCAGGACAACATACCCATCGCAGCATCCAATGCCAACATTGGCACAACATCCATGGAGGACGATGGTTTATCACTGGTGCAACACAGAAGTCAACGTGTTGATGTTCGCATGCCATCACGTTATAGGCAGTATGACAATGTACTCCTGCAGCCTCCCCCCAGTGTTCCAAGTCATATCGTTCAACAAACAGAATCTATCCCCGTCGCAAATTCTACTAGCGTACTAACCACGGCTTGTACGTCGTTGCAACCCGCTCCTTTCTGCACGGCAAGGAATGTATTCGGACTAGTGCGCCAGTTTTTCTCTTTAACTCCCCCATCTCATGACCCAGAAGAGGCCGCAACACTTCACGATATCAGTTCTATTCCTATTCCTACTCCAGCAGGTCAGGATGGCCCTGCTGAGCCTCACAACTCGTTTCACCCATACCCCAATCAAACGTCCTTCGAGCTTGGGCATTGGTACTGGAATGGCACGGCACAGAAGTCGCACCAGAGCTTCAAAGGCTTGCTCGATATCATCGGATGCTCGGATTTTGATCCCAATGATGTGCGACATATGCATTGGGACCAGATCAACTCCAAATTAGGTGCGAGTGTCGATGAAGAGGATGATGAATGGTTGGATGAAGATGCAGGTTGGCGCAAAACGGAAGTGACCATCGAAGTCCCTTTCTCTCGAACCACAGCTCAGCCAGGTGTTCGACCTTACATTGCAGCAGACCTTTACCATCGGTCTCTCATATCAGTTATTCGCGAAAAGCTCGCAAATG